ATGTATATTTACACTACACATTTTTTCCTTCCTTGCCAGTTATCTAAAAATATATGTAGGCTGAAAGTCTATAAATTTTTATATATAGATATATAAATATTTGTTACAGGTGTAAGATTGTACATATATTCAATATATATATTTATATATTTACACTACACCTTTTTTCCTTCCTTGCCAGTTATCTAAACAAATATGTAGGCTGAAAGTCTATAAATTTTTTTATATATACATATAAATATATGTTGTAGGCATAAGACTGTATATATATTTAATATATATATTTATATATTTACACTACACCTTTCTTCCTTCAAAAAGATAGATGCATCTCCAGTTATCTAAACAAATCTATAGGCTGAAAGTCTATATTTGTATTCTTTATATATATTTTTATAAGTGTGTATATATATTATAAACATTATAGATAATATATATAATATATACATTATATAATATTGGAGATACTTATTCATATATTTACATATTTGTATATTTTTACACTACCCATTTCTTCCTTCACAAAGACACATATCTCTACAGTTATCTAAACAAATACATAGGCTGAAAGTTTATATAGTCATTATTTATATATATTTATAGGTGTATATATATAATATATAATATATAATATATTATATTTTTATAGATTTATATATAATATATGTATTATATTGTAAATATTTATTTATATATTTACATTTATATATATTTCCACTACAGATTTCTTGTTTCAAAAAGATAAATCTATCTCTAGTTATCTAAATAAATGTGTATTGATTATTTATATATATTTTTATTTTTATATTTACATATAATATTGTATATATTTATTTATATATTTAGATCTATTTAAACTACACATTTCTTCCTTCAATAAGATAAATCTATCTCTAGTTATCTTAACAAATACATAGGCTGAAAGTTCCAGACCTCCAGCTTTACTTCTCATTCTGTGAGTGGAATTTCCTCACACACTTTCATAGCTAAAAATGATGTAAAGGATTGTTTTGTTAGATTCTTCTACACTTATAGCTTTTGGCATTTTCTGTGAAATTCTTATGCAGAACAGAATTTAAAATCCATAAATAAGCCTATTGCCTCCCTCTTCATAAAGGCAAGAATGACGAATTTCGATGCACACAAAGTAAAGTACAGCAGAACACTTTTTCTTTTCAACTACTTTTCTCTTTCAAATAGGCAAAACCCTACAAAAGTTATAGAGCTGATCAGCAGAATGAAATAAACCAGCAAAAAATATTCTCCCTGAACAATTGTTTCTGTCAAAATGTGGTTTAAACAAATTCTGTCTCCAGTTAACTGCAGTCCTCTGGTGGTTTGAGTGCTTTTAAAGCTTCATTAGAAAACACACACTGTGAGAATATTTGTATCCAAATGTCTACAGCACACTGTGGTAAATTCAGCCCTCAGCACGGATGAACCATTTCAAATATAATTTTAAAAAAACCAACACGTATTTTAAAATAACATTTGAATATAAGTAAAACTTACACTAATTCACTTATGCATATTCAGCACCCAAAGCTGCAGTAAAAACAGACTGTGTCTCCTTACCCTTTCACAGATACATCAGCATGAGTTATGCTCATGTTTACTTCACAGAGGGAGTTTGAAAATTTAAAAATTCATAAATCCATCACTGGTTTTATTTTCCATCCTGTTTAATAGCAAACCTCAATCTCGAATTTCCCAAGGAGGAAACGTTGTCACTGGAATCTCACAGAATTTTTTACTGCATAAACTATCAATTATTTTCCCAGCAAACAAGGCAGGTTCATAGGGCAAAGTCAGAAGGAAGAGAAAGGAGGGGAATGTTTTTGTGGATTGTTATCTATAGACCAAATGGAAAATCTTCAGCCATTTTGTTCCTTCAAGGTACATCAAAGAATCTGCTATTTAAGGTGTGAAAATGTCACTTACATTCTTCACCTCAGAAAATGAGCAGAGCTCTGAATGTGATTTATGTCCCACCCTTGCACTTTTCTCTTTTAGGAGCTGAGACTCTTCTTTTCAACTTCCCTCCAGCTAATGCCATTTAATGCTCTCAGAACTATCAGGCTAAATTCAAATTTTCTGCTCCTCAGAGGCTGGTGTTATGCACCACGGCACATTCCAATTGCAAACACACACCAATGCTCCCATGTATTGTAAGTTATTTTTTTACTCACAAATCCTGCTAAATTGTAAGTTAGGAGGCACTACTTGAATTCTCTCAGGTCTTTAGAAAGCTTTTAGATGTACCCTGAGTAATAGCATGTAATGAATATGAACTGATATTTCCTCTCTGTATTTACACTGAGCTGGCAATTTACATTTTCTAGATAGATGAATTATAGCCAGCCTTCCCAGTACTCTGGCAATTACTTCTTAGAAACCCCTGACAGGCTCAAACCTCCAGAATCACATCTGTTATTCTTGGTTTGATCCCTCTTTTTTAAATTAAAACCAGTAGATTTATCAGCAAATGAGAAATTTTTTTTTTCCCCCTCCGGAAATACTTACAAAACTGCACATAAATTGAACATACCAACTTATTTCTTGTCAAGGTTGGCATATCTTCTGGGTTAATGACCAGTGCCCCATTTCTGTGACAGAATTAATTGGGGTAAGGAGGCTGTAAATATACACAACATCCCACAAATTCTCCTCCTTTGGGGTAATCTGAAGATTTATAGGAATGGAGCAAGATGTGATTGGAGGGGAGAGAGCATAAAAATTTAAGAAGTGGTAAAATGCTTGTCTGATCATTTTGTCTCAGTTTCCAGGCACAGAATAAAATTAGAGCAGATTTTACTAATATCTGATGGGACTTTTTCTTCCTCTGAAAGACTGGCTAAAACACAAAAAAAACCACCTAGTAAATTTTCACATTTTCTAAAAACTGTCATTATTAAAATTTAAAAAAAAAGAGAGAGAGAGAGAGAAAATGCACGGACAATATCATATTTCTGACTGGCTGATTGATCTAAAAAGCTGAATTGAAAATGGTAATCTCAACTCCACACCAACAGCTGCTCAAGACATGATTTGACAACAGTTTTTGGCAGCTAAACACAAATGAAGATCAAGAGAGAGAAGTCCTCACTTGGTTAGGGCTCAGTGTCAATTTCTCACTATCTAGCTTCATTTATCATGCATCACTAATGGGAAAAACCCAGGTATCAATGGATTATAGGAAAGATTAATTCAGGTTTGTCTTCCATGGCTAGGTCAGGAGACACATGCCATTCACTTTTTACAGCTAGGACCACTCAGGGCCTTGATGTGATGTCCCTTAATATTGCAGAGCAAACATTCTAAATCCATATGCACACCTGCAAATTGAAAGAACTTCTAAATGCAGCTGGAGACAAAAGGATGACAGATTTCCATTACAGATTTGGGAAGGAAAAGAGAAGAAAAAAGAACATGATGAATTGCCAGTACATATAAATGTAAAGGTGCATCAGACAGTTGTCTCCTGTGTTCTCCAGGCCTCTCCAGACGTGCTGCAGGAAGCTGAGTTCATTAAATCTGATCCAAATAAATTTGGAAATATGCCTGCACTCCCTAATCACTGGAGAGGCCCTCCCAAGTGTGATGCACACACACAGAAGCAGCTGAACACACCCCCAACCTCAGCAGCACATCTTCCCCAGCTCCTCACCCTGCAGCCACCCTCAAACCCACCTCACTACCCAAGGCCTTCCGTGCTGCTATTACAAAAAAATATTACTTTGAAATGTCTCCAGGAGATGATTCCTAACCTGAATTAAGACCATCTTTCCCAATTTGCTGATATTGCAAGGATTTAGAGCATTACTCTTTTTTTAGCCAAGCAATGTCAGGCTGATTAAACTAGTAGCTAAAGGCTATGACTTAAATTAAAAGATTAGCAGCTCAAGTCAAGACTGTGAGATACAGAGCTAGATCACAGCTTTCCAGCCAGCACTGATGCATACAACAGGACCAGGAGAAAGCATTATCAGAAGCATCAACACGTGTGGTGCCACACCAACCATCAAGGAATGCAGGCCAAGGCAACAAAGATGAGCTGAAGGGGAAAATTTCTAATGCATTTATAGGTTTGTCCCAGTTCCTGGTTCAACCCCTCTCCTGCTTTCACCCTTAAAGCAAGCCTGACATCAAAAATAAATTATAAGCTCATAACAAGCCCTTCTTATAGGTGTGCATAAATTAGCATCTCGGTGCTGCTGCTGACAATTGAGAATTCCAAGCAGCAGAGTGATTATCACCATCACTCAAGTTCAGGTCTCTGGTAAAGCCTGAGAGGACTGTGGCTGCTCTAAGCATGAGAATTTAGAACAAGTGCTACCCAAGGCTCCAGAGAAAGATGTCAGGCATCACAATTAAATGACATGTAGAAAAAACAAGGCAGGATCTCCTTAGCACAAAACTGGGCAGCAATCTTTCCTGCATGACATGCTTGACACATGGGTGGAACGAGACCAAAAGTGGTTTGAAATTCTGTTATCACAGCTTCACAAGCAAAAAGAAAACAATGCCCAGAACTGCTCAAAAATAAGGCTTAAAGCACCTGCTGCCTTGTGCCCTTGTGCTGTGTGGGTATTAAATGCCACCACACTAATCTATTAGCACAGCAGATATAAATAGCTCAGCAGTATAGAATGTAATGGAGTTTCCCTAATGCATCCCAAAATGCCACCACAGTTCATCCACAAGCACAGAGTCAGTATCGACTCCACAGTTTGGGTGCATTCAACAGGCAGAACAGAAATAGTTACGAGTTCCTTTTGTCGTATTTCACACACGTCCAAACAGAGATTATCTACCCAAAAAAAGAAAAGGAAAAAGAAATTTAAAAAAATATAAAAGCAACTGTGTCAGAATGGTTACAGCTAGGTCTGGTTCTGTTCTGCAGGGCAATGCAACAAAGCAGCTTCATGCAGGGTCAGCAGGAATGATTCCTGCTGGGGTTTAAGCAATAAACAGCAAAGAAAGTTGAAATTGAGACTTACCACGGGGCACCATATATTCGGAATCCTTTAACTGTTACCTCTGAATCTTGTAAGTAAATACTATTTGTCAGGAGTGACTGAACATTGTCAAAGTCCTCTGGTTTCAATTTGGACACAGAGGGAAAGCGGTAGTAATCTTGTTTAACAAGGTCTGCCATGAATTCCTTATCAAATGTCAGTTCATGATTCCCAGCAATCACTATTTTATATTCATATGGTAGGTTTCCTGAAATAACAAAAAAGAGGACTTCATTAGCACATTTCCTCCTCCCACAACAAGCAGCCAGCCAGCAGTGCCAGAGTGCAACACCCGAGGCCTGGGAGCATCTCCGTGCTGGGCACAGCACACGGATGGATGCTGCTCCTCCTGCACCCAGTGCAACAGGGTCAGAATGCACAGAATGGCACCCAAAGCCATGGCACAGCACAGAGCCCCTGCTGCAGGGCTCAGCAACACAGCTGCTGGCAGTCAAACCAGCTCCAAAGGGGGCATGAACCAGCACTGCTGGGTTATTCACCTGGATGTGCCCACCAGGCTTTAATGCAGGTCAGGAGCCTGGCAGGTGAGCAGGGAGTGCAGGATGCCTGTCCTGAGAGCCTCAGACTGCTGGGGATGGTGAGTTTTAAATTATGGCTTTGTTTGATTCAGCTGTATTTCAGTGGCACTTATTTCTGTGCTGGCAGGCACTGACCCCCAAGAGAAAACTGCATTTCACCTGAGGCTGTGGAGAAGGCTTCCAAAATGGAATGACAGAACTGGGATTGTGGGTGTGCAGTTTGAATAGAAGTGTGTGATTTCGAAACTTAAGAGTTTAAGGGTTTAGAATATAGTAATATATATAAAGCAAGATGGAGGTTTTAGGGTGGAGGCTGGTCCTTCTCCTTCACCTTCTTCTCCATGGGTTTGGGTGGGTTTGTGTAATTGGATAAAAAAGTCCACATTGTGTGGTTGGTTATTGGGTTAAAAGTAAAAGTAATTTAGGTGTCATTTCTTAATTGGACAGTTTATCCTTAAAAGGCCTTGAAGAGAGGGAGATACAGCTCCATTTTTAGTTTGTTAGAGTGCAGTGCTGCAGAACTCATGGTTTGTGAGACTGTAACACAGATAAGAACTAATAAACATCTGAGTCTGAAAAAAAAATACCTTCTCACACATTTAATCCTGACCCTGGCAAAAAAGAAGCAGAGAATCCACATTTATTCAAGACCTAGCCTATTTCCCAAAACTTTAATTCATTTGCAACATACTTTTATATTATTATTATTATGTTTATGAGTATCTCATTTCTTGCAAAAAGCACACAAGTAGAAATAACCATGAAACTCAGCCACATAAGACAAACCAGGAAAAAGGAAAATCTGATTAATTCATTTACCATCAGAGTCAGAAGTAAAGGATCACATGTTTGCTCCCCTCAATTCAGGGGAACTAATAGCATTGTTTGGAAGGAGGCATGGATCATGCTCACAGAGCCAGATTTTTGGAGCTCAGAACAGATTTTCAAGCACTTGGTACTAGCAATCAGTGCCAGATCTTCCAAACAAACATACTGGGTGCTGAGCTCCCTTAAAAATGCAGTCCCATACTGTGGTGTCTTCACAGAAGTTAGGCTCTCTTACAAAATCTGTCCCACTGTGACTTGCCAAAAATCCCACATAGGATTGCATCAAAGCTAACTGCTCCTGCCTTCCCCACAAGCCTGATTTCTCAGCCTCATACCTTATCCTTCATTTTGGTGTTTATTACTAAGAATCATTTAGAAAAGGTTGGGTTTGTTGTGGGGATTTCTGTGCAGTTTGTCTCTGTTTTTATTTTTTCACAAAGGCAGCAAAATGAAATAGAAATCTTTGAGTTTGTCTTCCAGGTCTGGAATTCACAACATGTGTCCCAGGGAAGACAGAATCAGATGCTACACATTTCTTGTGAGTACAGTGCTCCTAAACAGAAGTGGCTTTGCTGGTTTAAAACTTGTCTTCCAGCTTTTGAAACTGTTTGGTTTGGGTTCTTTTCAAAAGTGGGCTTCAGAGTAAAGCTGTAAGTATATACAACAAGATTAACTTTTCCCCTAAATAGGACTTAGAGGGGAGCCAGTCAGAACCCTCTGCTTTTTCAGCATTTACAGCACAGAAACAGGAATTACATGAGACATCATCTCTGCAAAATTAGTGAATTCTGGAGGAAAAACCAAAATGCTACAAATCCCTTGAAAAAACCAAGCAGACTATGTTTTTCATAGACACCTCAGGTCTGAATAAAATACATATTCATTACTCTCTGTGGTGGTGCTGCATTAGAATAAAAGCTGGGGAGATGCAATAAATGCTCCTCTACAGTTTTTTACTCACTCCTTTCCCACTTTCCTCCCCTTGCCCATCTCCACTACGTGCTGCTCTGCAATGCATTTTTATTTAAGAACTCTGTGCGGCATGTACCTGCAATTCCTGCTCTCTGTGACTCCTGGGCACAAGATAAAAGTGCTATTTTCTCTTCTCCCAGGAAACATAAAAGATTATCACCAGCGTGAAATTTGATACACTTGTCATAACCATCAATCCCCCAAAACAAGCTAGGTGTGATAATATTCTCAGAGAAGTGGGATGGAGGAGTTAAATTCAGGTTTCAGCTAAGTTATCAACATTTGCCCGCTTTAACACAGAAAACCCTTCATCTTACCTGATACATGTCCAAGCTATACTTTTTATTTTGATTTGACTTCCATTTATTTTGATAGACTTGAAAACCAGCACGTTTTGCTGATATTATCCTCAATTAAGCCTGGAGCATTTTTGCCCAGTATTTTTTTTTTAATCTTGACATTTTAAAAATAAGGGCTTACTTTGGAGGCACACAGGACATGCAAAGGCAAACCAATGGTGACATCAGTAATTATTAAAAAACATAAATGTAGCATTATACATGTTATATTAGCACCTGAAATCTGTAGGGGGTACCCAGACAGTATTTCTTGCAATTGGTGTGAAGACAGCTGCTGGTGTTTTCAGGACTAAGACACGTCAAAAGCCAGGGTAGCAGCAAGAGAAAGTCTCATTTAATTCTTCTCTCTTCCTTGAGGAAAAGGACTATATAGCACTAATCACAGTAATAAGTTACCTGCAATCAAATCAGCTATTTATTCATCACATTCTGGTTTTTCCTTCTTGAAAGGCCCCATGGCATTGCACAACATCCACTCTCTCTGATGTAATTTGTGAAATATTTTGTTTTCTTTTGCCAGACCTGCCCTTTGTCTATAATCTGTTGACCTTGTGTTTAATATGGAAATAGAAACAGTCATCTTCAAAAATCTCCTACTCCATGGTAATTTAGTTTTATCTTGACCAGATTAATCTCTGTCTCTGCATCAGTGCTGCCTGTACAGCATAACACAGAGGTTGGAAGGCTTTTCCTCATTTTCCTTCACTAAATCTTTGTTAAACACATTTGGTCTTTATTAGTCTGATTTCCTAACTATCAAATCTTCCATTATGCATCAGCAACATCATCCATTCTAAATTTATACTGTGACTCTGGAAAACAATTAGAAGAATCTTTTCCAAGCTAGAAAAAGTGGGATCTGTTTGCTGGGCTGAGCACTTCAGAAATCCCCATTATTAACTCCCAGCATAATAACTGAGCAATTTAAAATATTTAAATGCTTAACAGGTGAGATCAAAAGGCTAAAATTACAGCTACCAAAAGGAACCAGGACACTGTGTCTGTGAAGCAGAGTCACTTATACTGGAGTATTTGAAACCCATATTTATGTGTATGTACACACACACACACACAGGGTGTGGACATGTGTATCTTCAAAATATATTTATTATTTTGGTTCAGATGTTTTTCAACAACTCTCAACAGCACAAGCAAGGGCACAATGTAATCATTGATCAAGAAAATACTGCAATTAAACAAGTTGTTCCCTTCTGGAAGCCAAAAGGTCAATACTGCTCTTGCTCAAACAAAGGCAACAATGGTTATCTCTGAATGCCTTGGGAAAATTGAATTGTTTACAGTAAATGCATTAATCTGGGAGTCTCAGAAAACTTCTGTGACTGGTCTAACAAGTCAGCCCTCAAGCTATAATCCCAGGTATCTCTGTCCCCCAGAGGATTCATCTTCACTCCTGTGCCATGATACCTTCCTGCCAACACAAGGATTTGGTGGGCACAGAGCAGAGTGCATCAGATGAAAATGAAAAATGAGGAAAAGATGAAAAATGATGTGGGAAAAAAGGATGGGGGTCTGAATGCTGCTAAGGCAGAACTTCTATTGCTGGCTGCAGCCACTTACATCACTGCAAGTGTCAGCTGAACAACAGACTGACTTTAAATATATCTATTACATGGGACAAGGGGGCAAGCCTGGGGGCCAGAGGGCTGTGGGGTTTTTTAACCTACCTAAGGAGTTGTTTCAGTGGCTTTCTTTAAATTCACCTTATGCACTTGGAGCCTAGGAAGCCTTAATCTGTTGAACAGTCATTCCCATTTTAATAGCATGCTTCATATGAGTACAGTTTAGTCACACAACCCAAGTTCTGCAGAGCTGCCAGACATGAAAAGGAGTGTGCCTGGCAGTGAACGTTAACTGCTGAGCCCCTATAAAAATAGAAAACCACATTATTTTTCTACTACTGTTACCTGCAAACCCCACAGGGAAGTAGGGGAATGAGAAATAATGTGATGCTAGCTGTCTGTAGAGTGGTGGAAACCTGTATTTACACACAAATGATATGCAAGTGGTTTTGATGCAAAGCTCTGAATATGCATATGCATGCATTAACTATTCAAACCACACAGCACTTCCATGAAACATGGAGCTTTTTTCATGCCTGTTTCATAGCCTCATAAACCCTTTGGCCATATGCTGAGAAACAGCCTGAAAATCCTTGAAGTATAAATCTTAAAAAGAGGGGAAGCTGCACAAGAGAGAGATGTGCGTGCAAGTGAATCGTCTCAAATTTCTGGTATTTTATGCGTGCCCCAAAATTGCAAAACTGGTCATGGAGCATTTCCTCTGTAACCAGCCCCATACACATCCAGGGGTAAACACAGAAGGAACAGATTTTGTGTTGCTCCTGCAGATTTTGTGTTGCTCCTGCAGATTTCAGCCCCCACAGCTGCAGCTGCTGAGGGCAACCAGCAGAGCCCAGCTCTGGTCAGCAGCTCTGCAGCTTCTTCCTGAGAGGTTTCTCATGGAAAGCCCTTGGCACCACAGGGCCATGG